AATTTAGGTTATCGACCAATTCCAGTAACAAAGAAATATTTGACAATAATAAAACTAAATATACTAAAGCACTAGAAAAAAAAAACAAGCACAAAGTGAAATTAGAGTATGTAGAAAGAAAAAAAACGATAAAGATGAGCTAAAACAACGCAAATCTAACAACATATGGTTCAACCCACCTTACAATTATTTTCCATTTATCCGTTATTTTTATAGACATAATTTAAGTAAATACACACACACACATATATATATATATATATATATATATTACTTACAGTTTCTGGGGGAGATCATGTTATCTAGTGTGATCAAAGGCCAGCACACTCAAATCCTCAGTCATTATGACTTGTGACTTTGTGCTATCACAGCTATCGATGGCCCCCAAGGCCTCACAAGGCTTGACATAACCAGTGGTACAGCTTTCAGGCACTTTCCAAAGCTGCTGAATGAAGTGAATATTTAAAAGTGAATGCCCATTCAGATATAAAATAGCAGTGATAAAAAAAAAAAAACATCCTAAAAAGAGTACACCAGAATTCATCCTTTCTACTCTTCCTTAAAGAACTCAATGTAAAACAGGCACTAATTAATAATGGCTTTCCTAACCACCTTATAGACAACCAAATTAGACTATTTCTCTCCAAAGTAAATAACAGCGATAACGAACATACAGTAAAAAATAACATTTTCTACAAAAGCCAAATGCACATTAACTACAAACAAGATGAATCTTCACTTAGAAATATTATAAAGAAATACACTACCCAATTGACCCGAATGAAAAAAAAAAAAAATCAAATTATTTATTTACAAAAGATTTAAAACAGCTAACCTTATCCTCAACTAACAACACACCAACAAAGTCAAAATTACAATGAACGAACATTATCTATGAGTTCAAATGAACCTTAAGTAACTGTATTCCTGATCAAACTGAATTTATAAATAATTACATTGGTCACACAATTACATGCCTATCCAGACGTCTCATGTTACATCTGACCACAGCTCTATTAGAACCCACTTAAACTTACCAGACTCCATTCGAAACATACTAGTAGAAAGTACAAACATAATAACCTCATCCACATGTTAAAAAGATTAAAAAAATGGAAGCCTTAATAATAAAAAAGAAAAAACCAACACTTAATAATATTAACTACGAACACGGTCACAAATGAGGCATATCAAATTATCTCCGATTTGTGGAAGGACTTTGATCATCATCACTCCCAATGTGCCATTTCATATGCCTTATCAGGCCTGGCCTAGACTTGCACACCCTAGTGCAGGTTGGGCATTCAAAGCATGCAATTATGAAATTGTCATATACAATAGACTATTGGTGTGACCACTAGTGACTGAGCAGATCCACCCTAGACAGACATATTCGATTGCTTTGGGCAAATGGGCAGGTTGGCACTTCATGGCAATTCAAGGATCTCCTCTGAACCCCTTTCTTCAGTTTTGCATATTTTTGTGGTGCCTTATGGAAGATCTTGATGCCATCAATAATATCAGCTCTTCAAGAAACCCGGATGGAGGGGATATATATATATATATATATATATATATATATATATATATATATATATATATATATATATATATATATATATACACACACACACATAACAACATATATTATCATGAGCAATTCCAAGCATCATATAATGGCTTTAATTTCAGTCATCGATATAAGCTTTCGGCTCACATGAGCTATCATCAGAGTGGTTACATGGACGACCAATATAATTTTTGTACCAAGCACTTTTAATTAAGCAATTCTTTTGGCAATTAACTTTTTTGCCAAAAGATTAAATTCGTTTATATATATATATATATATATATATATATATATATATATATATATATATATAAATAAATAAACAAAAGTGATTGTAATTTATTTAATAACATTCTCTTAATATATAGTTTAATTCATATTTGTTGATTAGCTGGAACAAAGTATTTGTTTTAATATTATCATAGAGGTTCACTTATTTTTGTGTGTGTATCTCTCTCTCTCTTTATATAACTTTCTGAGAGAACCATCTTGGTAGAAACTGTGGTTGCAGAGGGGTCAGTGTTTTAGATATTTTATATCTTAACTTGCCCTACATTTTCATTTTATGAAAATTGTGATGAGCACTCTTAATATCAATCAGTTATATGCCATGCGTGATATCAAAAGATACATGACTGACGAGGCAGATGTTTTTTCCTGCAGTAGGTTGCTATTTTTTTCTGCGGTAGACCAGTTGCCATCCAAGGCAATAGAACCTGGTCTGCCCTGTTATTTACCCATTGTTGGTGTTTGGGGGTGGGGGAGAGAAAAAGAGGATTCATACCTTTCCCAAGGGTATTAGCATGTAAGTGAATATAATAGATTTGAGTGGAATTCAAACTCGGCTCAATCCGGGCTGCTATCCACTGTGCATATCTCTTAATATAACTTCTTTTTGGGGTGAAAATTACTTTTTGTATATATAGAGTATTATATATATATGAGAGAGAAAGAGAGAACCCTGTTTAAAATTATAAACATTTAATAGATTTAAGTAATATTATTAAAAAATCTCAATTCTGTGTGAAAAAGAATCACACAGAAATCAACTAATTTTCTTTTCCACATTACCATTTATTAACCAATCAGTGATGTTATCTTAAACGCCATCAATGCCTTCAAATTTCAGAAGATCACATGCGTGTTGTCTGCTAAAAATAGATATTTAAAAATTGGAAAATATTATTAACCAATAAAACTGAGTTTTATAAATCTAACTTTTTAGCTTACTTGACTCATCTATTTTCTTATAAATATCATCATGTACATTCACAAAAGTTAGTTTTCAGTAAACCACCAACCAGGAATGTTTGTATGCAATGCTGATTACTCACCCCTTTCATATAATTATTGAGTTTAAGTATTCTTGCAATATCCTCCTTCATTTTTCAAGTAAATTATACAACACAAAAAAAACATACAAACGAAAACAGGGAAACAAATATTAGCAGTATTAACAATATAGCATTGATTGACTGCTGGAAAGTTACACGCATACATAAAAAAATGCAAATGCGTGACTCTTGCTTTATGTAGTTGCATACAGCTTCTAATTCATACTAACACAATTCATTTCTGTTGTAAAAAAAAAAAAAGAACTTTGTGAGGAATTTGTAACTAGTTTCTTTCAACTTGAAAGAAAACAAAGATTAATTTTATACTCCACATTAAAAATTATCTAAATTTGTAGAGCTGTTTAATGATTATTTTATTTTCCTCCACCACACACAATTTATATATATGTATATATAAAATAAATAAATAAAAGAAATAATCTTCAATCACACCTCTACAAATTTAAATAATTTTTATTATGAAAGAAACTAGTTACAAGTTCCTTGCAAACAAAGTTCAACAAAAATTTTTTTTTTTTTTTACACCATAGATTCTCATTGATAGTACTGCATTCTGTGCTTGATAGAAAATAATTCTACATGTAAGTTTGGAAAAAATTATGTCTAAGTGAGTATTGCATGGTAATGTGTATTTGTAATTGTGTACGTGTGTGTCTAGTAGGAGGAGTCCTGTTTTCACTTTTGTTTGATTAGTTGGTGTAGTGGGGTGTTATTCTATTAGTCTGTGGCTGCTTATATATATATATATATATATATATATATTAGATAGATTCTTTAACAATGGATTCAAAGGAGGATGGCAATGTAATGTTTTAAGTGCGTGTTTATAGTTGTTAATAATGCTATTATTAAGCTTTTTTAGGGTAGCATTAGTATGTGTGTATATATGCGTTTCCTTATAGATGACTGACAAATTAAAAATAGAATTACTTTTTGATCAATATTTGTAAAAAAAGAAAAGATGAAAGCAAATGCTAGCCAAAAATGAAAATGCTTTATAATGCTTCACTTAATAAAAAAGAAGATAATATTGCAGTTACTAAAAAAGGCATTTTATAAATTAAATAACGTCAAAACAATGAATTTATTAAAATCAAAGACAACAGCTATTATATAAAACATTTTATTATTCAAGTACATAGAAATTTATTTAGGGTTAAGAATTTTTTTAAGTCCTCGTTTTCCAGTTTTAAAAATTTGTTTTTGCTTTTATGATTTTTTGTCCTCCCATCCCCAACCTAAAAAAAATAAAAAATGCAGACATGTATTTAAAAATTTTACTTTCCAAGTACACAATGATATATGGACTCATTGCAAAAAAAAAAAGAAAAAAAGTTCAATTAAGAAATAAGCTTAGATTTAGGATTCCTTTCAGCAAAGAAAGAATTTCATAAAGCAACTTCCTTAACCAGTCAGTGTGTGTGTGTGTGTGTGTGTGTGTGTGTGCGTCTTGAGGGCACCAGGAAATGGTTAAAATGGATTGGTATTTGCAAAGATGTATTCAGTTGAAGAGTCTCAGTTTGAAGAAAACTGGACTGATCAATGTTAGCAATTTGGTTGAAAGATGGAATAAATAGTAAGGGGGGGTGGGGGCGGTGCTGGACAGAATGGTTGAATAATGAAACGAAAATAGATTTAGATGAAATTCAAAAGGTAATGATATTAGCTACATAAAATATCCCCAAAAATTCAGAATATATGTCATATATATATATATATATATATATATATATATATATATATATATATATATATATATATATATAACATTGTTGGAGGCTGAAAGAAAAGAAAAATTCCAGAGAAATTCTGGAAAATAATATTCCGAAAATAGTTGGAAGTTGGAAATTAAAACTTAGGGTTACATTTTTCTTCTTTTCTAACATTTTATTAAAAGTTGGGAGGGGCATTAGTCACTCATTTGTGTCGAAATGAACAGCAGCAGCAGCTAAAATTATCAGTTTGCATTTGTTTTATGTTTTACAATAAAATGATATTTTTTTTTCTTCTCAAAGTTTTCACTGTTGAAATGTCAAACAATGAGGGCAGAAGCAAACAATTCTTCTGGTTGGAACTCAGTGACAACCGCAGGCTTGGACAATCATATTGCGATATTTCTTCAGAATAACATTGGCATTGTCATCAAAGTAAAGTACAGAGATGCCACTGAGTTCAGTAGGAGCACAACAAGGTTTAGGGATCCCCTGAGATTTCACCGTGTGTACAAGCAGTTGGACGATGGCATGATTGGTAGCATTCATATTTAAACCAAGCGGGAAGATGCATTCTCCATCACAGTAGTAAGCAGAGTAGCCTTCAGGGGCGATAATCCAAGTCTGAAGGAAGAGAGGAAAAAAGTTAATTGCTGAAAAGTTTATAGAAATTAAATAAAGTTTATTATTCAACATAAACAAGCATTTTTTAAATGGGATCACATCCTTGGTCATGGTCACCAATTAATGTAACACCTTTTGCCACTGCCTACATCCAGTGGTGCAACCACATTTTAGTTGTCTGGTCCTCAGGGTCTTAGAACAACTTTTTAACCACAGGGCTAACTTTGTGCTGGTCAATGCTGACATTGATCCAAGCTGGTTGTTGGTCACTGGCTGCTTTGATCCATACCAACTCTGCTCACATTGTGTTCTTGATCTCAGAGCAGTAGAAAATCCAATGTTATAATGGCAGTGCTGGTTCAAGCTGTGGCGGATACTACATTAAGGAAGAAAATTTACAATTCACAACTAAAAATAAAACGAGATTCGTTGGGTTAATCTTCAATTAGTTTATATAGTTCTTGGTACGACAAAAATTAACCCCACATCAATCTATATAGTGACACTGGGCCCTGTCTAAACTACTGGAGAAGCTGGGTTCAAAATCTTGGAATCAGGAAATCTGGTGGCAGCTGATGTAGATTTCAGAGGCACTCAATGTGGGTTCTCAGCCCGAAGTCTCTGAGCTCCCTGAAGCCATCTGCACTTTGGTCCAAAACTGGTGTGGGACCAAAGGGTTCTGAGGAGTGGTGATTCCCCAATTTTCATTAATTCCAATAAAGTTTTTTTTTTTTGTTTCCTATTTCTGTTTTTTCAATCAACTTTCCAAATTTGGAGAATTATCCACCTTCCTTGGGAATAGTTAGGGATTGTGCCTCTCTTAACTCCAAATGGCTTCACTTCACATTGCTACTTCACACAGGCAGGACTAAATTCTGCCCCTTCCTCCTCAGTATTCTAATTCTGCCCATTTCTCAGGGCTGGCATAACTGTCTTTGTGACAAATCTAATTTTTAAAGTGAGTAGGAGAAAGAGTGTGGTTTATTCTCCTGATTAATTTCAATTCTCTGACTTCTAACCTGTGTAAAAACACAAGCTAGACCACCTTTTCAGTTTAACCTTCTCAGCAATAGATAAAAATTATTCCCAATTTGTTTTGTCAATGAAAATATACTTGTTTACCTCAATTCTCAACAAAGTGACACATTGTTTTCCATTCTTGGTCTGGTCACCATTCTTTTCCATTCTTGGTGAGATCACCTGCCTGTTATGATGGATTGAATTTTTAACCCTAACTCTTGCAGCGGGTTCATTCTTTGTTTTCATTTCTCAATTTGTTTTTGCTGATGAAATTATAAATTCCTGTCTGCTTCTGTTTTTGTCAACGATGTGCTTTTCAAATTTCCCAAGAAAGATAAAACCATTTCCCAATTTGCTTTACTCGCATGCCAGATTCTCAATAGATAAAAAACATTGTTTCAATTCATAAGGGTGAGGCAACCCAAATGGCCCTTTCTTCACTTCCACATTACCAGAGAAAATGTCTTCCATTCTCTCTATCTTCCAGATTATATTCCATTTTGCTTTTAACCCTTTTTCTACTTAAAATTAATGCTTAACCACCTCACAGTCTCAGTGTCACAGTAGGAGGCTAATAGAAGGATCAGATGGTTTGCCAGAGTCCTTAAAGGCAGGAATTACAGAAGAGGTTTTCCAACAAGGAGGAAAGCAAGAAGCAGTAAGGTATTTATTATAAAGTTTAGAGAGAACAGGAGCCAGTTAAGGAGCATATTTCTTAAGGAATACCATCAAGTCCACATGCTTTTTGGGGGAATCTAGCTTAGTGATGATAGCAGAATCCCTGGATGAAGTTATATGTATATTTCTCAAGAGAGACTCAGCTCTAAGTGGGAATTCAGGCAAAAATACTCCAGATTAGTCAAGAGTAAAATTTGAAGAGAATTTAAGAGAAAAACATTCTGCTTTATCAATGAAAGAAATTCACCCTTCAAATTAAGTAAGTGAAGAGAGGAGGAATAAAAGACTTACTCTTATTTAAGACACAATTAAAGAGCTGCCAGTAGTCATGAGAGCCAAACTTGTTAGAAGCTATGAGGTATCTCTTTTATCCGCAAAGACAGACTTAGCCACTTTGAAGACATGTTTATAATTGTTATGAGCAGACACAAATAGGTTTCTTTTGTGATTGGAACTATCACACTGGAATATCCAGAAGTTATTCCTGTGGGCTATAGCGGCAGAACAGGCTGGTGTGAACCAAGAAGAGTGTGGTTTCACTTGATATTTTAGAGAAGGAACAAAAGCATCAATGTTGGCTTTGATCCAAGAAGTAATCTCTGTTGCACAATTCTCGATTAGAAAGTTCAAAGGACATCTCAAAGAAGGTCACAAAATGAATCTCAATCAGTAAACTGGTAACAGACCAAAGTCATGTGAATAGGAGGTTCTTTTCTAATAGATGATACAAAGGAACAAATTGAGTAAAGAAGTATGTGGATAAAATTTACTTGGGAAACAAGTAGGGAAATCCAGTATTTGACTGAGAGACTGAGCAACAAAGATTTAAAGTATGAATGCCAGAAACATCAGAATGCCAAGCCACTTGATGTGATGAGCATTAAAATCACCAAACACAAAAATGTTTGCAGATGGATGTAGAGAGAGGGAGAGAATTTAGATTGTCAGAAATTTTGTTTATTACAATCTTGAGAAGGAGAGTGATAAAGGAAAAAGAGATAGCTGACAGAGTGCAATGTGACACTATTTAGCTATAGTAATTGGCTAACTAATTAATCACAGAAATTAAAACAGATAATAGGCATTCTTAAAGTGGAAAAAGAAAAAGCTATCGCGAAAGATAGACTGATTGATGTTAAAAGAAAGATTTTATTTTATTTACAAAAAAAAAGCCCGTGGAGAGAGCCGTGTGTGACGTCCTGTCAAGTTAATTTATGTCTCATCAAGGGAGATAGAAAGAAAGACAAATATGGAATTATCGGCCAAAACATGTGCCGGTCATAAAAATTTTGGCTGGAGATGAATGCCGATACAGGCAGGGAGAATCAATGTTAATTATCTTTCCAAAATATCGTTTATTTTTTTTCTTGGATACAAGTGAAGCAAAGCAATGTGGCAATTATAAAATTTTTGCATTGTCTCGATATTGGTAAGAGGATGGTTATCATTTACTTTGCCAACAGACGCTAAGACATCGAATAGCAATGTGGCAATTGTAAAATTTTGGCAGTCCCCATTAAATAGTGGAGAATTGAGATTTGGCGAGATAAAAGAATTTAATTTCTTAACAAGTCAAGGATTCCATTATAAAGCTAACTTAGCATAAAGAACCAGATGGCAAACTTTGACAGTGATTAATGAGACGGTAAGGATGCTGGCTAAGTGACTTTTGGGTGGCCCAGGAAAAAGAGAACATATGATAAGAATTTAATTGGCAATGTGGATTTCATAAAAATTTTGGCCGATGGGAAGTGAGAGTTTTGTAAACAAAAATTCTACATTATAACTTTAAGGAGGCCAGCATAGCCACAACGACACTGCCGAGAGATCATTGGTCATATGGTAGCATGGTGATAGGCGGAGGTGAATGGATGAGAAAGGCGGAGAAGATGTTAACGCCCACTGAAGGGATTGGTATGAGATATCAATGTGAGAGAAAAAGATTCTCGGAGGATAGCTCTCCTCTGACCTTCCCTCATGAATGACGGAGACCCCCCTCCGACGAAATGGGAAGTGGTTAATTTTCCAAAAATGGGAAATAAGCAATTTTCCTGTCCTGACAACAAAGAGATTTCTTGTTAGAAATAGAGATTACCAAGAACCCCAGGCCACATCAGGCCCACACACCAGGTTTTGGTTGGCACCCATATAAACAAATATTGATGGGTTGTTCGGCAGTTTAGCTCCGGACAGAGTCAGAGACAGTTTGAGTAGCGGGAACCAGAGTGTTGCCTTGCAGAAGCTGACCAAGTGATTCCACGACCTCTGACTCTGCCAATAGCAAGTTAATCTGATGAACAAAGTTAAGCCAGCACTTAAAAACTAAATTAGTTGACTTACTATATCAACTTGCTTGAAACATAGAAGTGTCACATTTCGTAGGAAACGGGCTGGGAGAAAAACATGCTCCTGTATATAACAGAAGGATAAAGTTAAATTGTTATTTCTTAACATACTTGAACCTCTTGGATTTTTCTTTCATTTATTTTTTTTCTTTACGCTTGTGCAATGCCAATTTGGACTCAGCTTACACTACAGCGCGATGCCTGATTGATCTCGTCTACCTAAGATCAAAGTCACAACGTGGGTAGGTTAGACACGAGATCGAAGCAGTTACTCCAGTAACAAGATGTTGCAGTGAGCTGGGAACGATAGAGTTGGCATTGAACCGGTACAGCTGGTGAAGCTGTTAACATCGACAACCAGAATTCAACCCTGGTGCCACATATTGGTGCCTTGACCATTGGATTTGACTCTGGATGGCTGAGTGGCACATATTGGTGTCCTGACCAGGGGATTTCGCCGAGTAGCGACAACCACCAAACAACCGGGACACAGGCTGGTGGCAGCGAGAAAGAGTCAACCCCAAAACGTAGGTGGAAGAAATCTTACAGCTTCGTGCCGCGACTGGGAGTTGACCACAGGCCGACGGCTTAGTGTCACAGCAATAACTAAAGTCAAAAGCACATGAAAGAATCGTCTATGGACTCAAGGGACAATAATATTGCTGATTCTTTCTTTGGATGTTATCAAGAATCTCTAAATAGCAGGAGCATCAGACCAGATGTGGCAGTAATATTCAAAGCATGGATGAATGGTAGACTTATAAATAGGTAAGATTCTGAAGAGAAAAATTGCTTAGCACAACACAGTTAACCAACTTTCTTAGCAGTAGGCCTAACAATTGATGCAATATAATCTTTATACTTATGTTGGCCAAGAATGTTAGCTCAAGAAAGTACAACAAGTGACATTCTTGGAGGTTAGCTACTGGCATGCTGATGGGAGGCAGAAAGGGGTCTCTCAGATGATTAATAGAGAGATATTTTGTTTTGGAGGTGTTAAAAATTTTGGAGGCATTCTGCTAAGTTAGCAATATCTATTGTCTGTGCACTTTTCTTCATTTCATTTATTCAGGTGCTTATTAGTGTTTTCCATGTATTTTTCTTAACATATCCTACACTTTCTTCATTGGTGTATTAGTATCAAGTTTTGATACATATTTTTTCCTGCATTCTATTATGAACTAAGCTTTATGTTTGACTTTCGATTTGGCTGATGATTTAGGGATTGTTTTTCCCCACCACTTGAACTACTAAACTTGTGAAACAGATCAGTGGGTTTGGTTCTTTGAGTGCTGTATTGGTAATTAAGGTTTGACAGAGGTTTGTGAATACCTGCCAGTTTTTCTTATGGAATTGCCATTTAGGGATTCTCTCATCTGATATTAGTTTAATGAAGTCAGTGAAAATAGGAGAGTGGTCTTTATTGATCTTCATGGAAATTCCACTGAAAATGTGTCAAGGTTGAAGTGGGATCAAATTGACATGGCTGACATAGAACCAGAAGCTGGATAGAGGTAAATATAGGATTTGTCATTCAATAAACATAAATCATAAGTTTATATTAGGTTTTTACTGCTATGGCCAATTGGGTTGAATTTTTTGCAACCCCAAAGTTTGCTATGGTCATTAAAGTCTCCAACCAATTAGAAAGGAATGGGTAATTGGTCAGTTACTCTATTAATTTCGGTTTGTTCTAATTTTTATCTCGGAGGGATATATAGTGAGCATAGGGTTAATGTCTGATAAAGAGTTGTTTTAATAGCTGTGGCTTGTAAATTTATGTTCAAATGTAGTATCTCTTGTGGAGTGGTACTTTTTACCAGTATTGAGGTACCACTAGTTGGTCTATTATCTATGGCTGACCTTTTGTTATAGCTTTTATATCCTTTAAATTATAAGTTGTCAGATTCTTTTTGCGTTTTCTTTTAAGCAGATTATATATGGATTATAGTCTGTCATCAGTCATTTGATTTCTTCAAAATGTGCTCTAATTCCTCTAAAGTTCCACTGCAAAAAGGTTGCTCTATTCTCTTTTAACTTTGTATATGAAGGACCATCCTTGGTTTCTATCTTAGATTAGTTTTCATAAATATCAATGTTCATGTGTTCTATACTATTTGATCTAGTCATATTACAGATGCTCCAAAGCCCAAGACCATTTCAGATTTCTTTGTCTTTAGATTTTTCTGTTTTTTTTTGTTTTTGGTGTCGTTACTTTGTTAAAATTTAGGGGTTTTTAATTTTCACCAATTCCAGTGCCTCAAATCAATTTTGTATTGAAATATTCGGCAGTTTTGTTTTATTTGATATTAATGACTTGTTTTCTAAGTTAGTTGGATTTATTTCTTTGGTGGGCATCTAATTCATTTTTGTTGGTATGGAGTTTGATTCTGTTTTTTTTTGTAGATTCTAGTTATTTGAGTATTAGTCTAAGTTCATTTATGAGTGAAGTTATCTCATCAGATTTTGATTCTCAGAGTTTACTTGTTATCATACCACATTTTTGACATTCTTGGTTGGTAATTTTTGAGGGCAGCTTTTTTTTTTTTTTTTTGCAATTTCCACATATAGAAGATGTAGAGAAGGTACTTTTCACTATTTCTCTTGCTTCTGGAAATGTGATGTTTTTAGTATATCTTATTATTATTTCTTTTTCTCTTCTCCAGATCTCACACTCCTTTGAATCAGCAGTATGTTCTTCTTTGCAATTTGGGATTTTTTCCCAATTTTGAAGGGTCTGCTCCATTCTCTCAACATCTTCCACACACTGGGGTTTTGGAGCATCTGTTTTTGAGTTGGCTAAATCTTTGGCAATTGAAGCATCTGAGTAGCCTAGGGATGTATGTTTCTATCTTAATAGAGTATCCAATTTTTATTTTATATTGAGTTTTAGGGTTTTAAATATAAGTATGTATTAATGTTAATATTTTGTCCATTTTTTTTTTATTTTTTAAATACTTATTCTTTTGACGTCTATAAGTTTCTGTTTTCTCAATGTGTCTTAATTTACTCTAGGGAGGATAGAGCAAGGTTGGGGTTTCTGATTACTCCTCTGGATGAATTTAAAGATTGGTGAGGATAGCTTGTGATTTTTAATTTGTCCATTTAACAATTTTTTGGTATGTCTCTTGTTACTTGTATTAATATTGTACCTAACTCTTTTTTTTTTTAACAGTTGGACTTATGTTGGAGGATATTATTTATTTTCCATTAGAAATGGAAACAATTTAGTAATGGGAATTTCTTCTATTGATTCAAATACAATAAATTCATGTTGCATTAAGCTCCGTTTTACTCTCTGATCTTGATTCTGTTGGGGGTCTTTTAATTTTTGATACCATGGAAATTTGAGTGAAAGTTTCATTATTCCTGTTCTCCACCTGCACTGGAGCCCTCTCGGGATATGATAGAGAGGGTTGGGGGACTCATTCACCCAAACATTCCAAAGATATAGGAATAGTATACTCATATTAATGAGTTTTGCAAACATCTATCAGGACTTCTGTTTCTAATCCCTACAATTAGGTGAAACAGAGTCTAAATGGTGATGTTGAAATTTTGACTGACTGACCCTTGCCACCACCACCTTATATTTATATTTTTTTTACTTATATGTTTGAGCATATGTTTATTTGTTAGGTTATGTGATGGAGTGTATGACTTTGGGTAGAAAGTGTGATTGAGTGTTTTTGGAGTATATAAATATTAAGGCTTAACGTAACTAGCCAATTGATCAGATTGGCCCTCTTTGACTGCCTGTTTAGTCCAAGTAAGGAACAAAGTGGAGTGTTGCAACCAAGGACCTCTCAATACCCAGGATTATCAACTATTCAGCCATCAGGATCCCGTCCTCCAGTGCCACAGGTCACCACTCACAGCAAATGAGTGGCCCTATTTGGGGATGTGTTACTCCTTTGCAGAGGTGCAACTGGTGTATTCTACTGCCTCAACTGGGTGTATCAAGTTGTTTGTGGGAAGCATTAAACAAGAGAGAGAGGAGCAATGAACATGTGATCTCATAAGCACAGTCAAAGAGAGCTGTGAGGAGAAATGGTAGATAGTTCTAAGAACATGACTTGTATAAGAGAGGAAGCACATATTCCTTTGATTTGACAATATTCCATAGCACAACAGAAAGCTAAGGAAGACCAGAGGATACATAGCTGAAACATTATGTGGTAGGAGAAAAACACAGCAATAACAAAGAAATTAGTCTGAGCAAATCACAAAAAAAAAAAAAAAAAAAAAATTAAAGAAAAATAGAGAGAAAGAATTCATGTCAATGTGCATTTTTCTGGCACACATGGGGAAGATGGAAGACAAAGAAAAACTTATCAAACAGAAAAAAAATTGCAAATAAAATTATTTACCCGCCATCCAAGGTCCCTGAAATCCACATGCATGGTCTTTCTTCGACAAACTGGTCTCACATAACGCCCTGCAAAGACAGTAGCAACAGTTGAGAGAAAATCTTTTAAACTCTCATTTTAGGACTACTTCAAAATCAATGGCATAAGGAAGTTAAGAAAATTATTTGCTTTGGCAAAAACAGATTTTTATCTCCAGACTTTGGTACTAAACATTATTTAAAATGTTAGGTTGATGAAAAGAATAATTGCAGTCTTTGCTATTTGAAAATTTGACATTTATTTTGGAATAAACTCTTATACAAATGATTATATAAAACAGAATTTTACAGGGTGAATTTCTCTACTGATTTATGCTTATAGTTTAGTTTTCACCATTTGTTTTTTCAAAGTAAAAATGTAAAAACAAAATTTGAATAATTTTATTGCTGGAGTTGAAAATAGAATGTAAAATAGCAGAAAGTATTATAAAAATTTTTGTTGATATTGCTTCCAAAAATTTTGTAACAAATAAGGATGTGTTCAAAATGATGATAGTTGTGGACATCTTTCTACAAGTGATAACAAATTGAAGGTCATTATTGAAATGGGCTTATGTAAAACAAGACATTGCAGAAGAACTAAATGCTGACTGTTCAAGAATTGTTCAGAATTTGCAGCAAACTGGAAAATAAGAGTTTGATAAAGCAAGAGCCACATACACTAATTGAATAAAAAAAATTGCTCTCACAGATCTGTTGTGATTCTTTTGTGCAGCAAAAACTACTTTTAATCATGTTATGAGACAAGATGAAAAATGGATTCTATACAATAACTGATGGCATTTCACAAGATGAGTGAAATCAGTTGAAGCATTAAAACATTTTCTCAAAAAGAGTCAGAAAGTAAATCAGTTTGGTGGTAAGCAAGTAGAAACATCCACTGCAATTTCTTTTATTCTATTGAGAATATCACAACAAAGAAGTATTGCAAGGAAATTGACAAACTGCACAAAAAACTTTATATTCCACATTGCTCAATTGAAAATGACTGATTCTTCTCTTTAACAATTCCTGACCACAACATTTCCAAATGTCTCTGCAGAAACTGAATGAATTGAACTATGAAATTTCCTTGCTGAGATTACTCCCAAACCTCTCTTCAACTGATAACCATTTTTACAATCATTTAGACAATTTCTTACAAGATATGGTTTTCAACTAACAAGTAGTACCACAAAATAACTTCAAATAATTAATTGGTTCCAAAACACTATGAGAAGACTATGCGATTGGAATAAATAAACTTGTTTATTCGCATCAATGTATACATTCTAATGATTTGAAGTTGGTAGTTAAAAGTTGCAATTAGTTTTCTACCAATCTAATATTTATAAAATCTAATAAGCATTTTATATAAGCAAAATTAATATCAATTTAAACACAAATTTTCCACACAAACTAAAAATATCATGGAAAAAAATTGACTCCATCAATTTTAGCAAATTTTATTATAAAAATATCTGTACATGAAGAAATCAAGTTCTGATTTCCATGCTGACATACACAAACATACACAAACACACAGTAGTATGCACATGCGCGCACACACACACACACACACAGTAGTATTTCAAAGGGCTCAAAGCAAAAGTTAACTGATTTTGTAGATCAAGTTTCAATAAAGTTTTTAGTGGAACTAAGCCAAGCTCAATTAAGAACTATGTTTAGAAGAGTGGCATTTATTTTACTGACAGATATTATCACACCAATGCACAGGTGCCTACAACTGTGTTTAAGGATTTAGTCAATGAAGCTTAAATTTTTTTATTAAACAAACTTTATTATAGAAAATTATTTGACAAAGTGACTAAATGACTGAACAAAGTATTAGCATTACAATATTAATATAGATTCAATCATTTATGCATTGTTGAAAATTTTCAAGAACTTTTTTCAAGTTTGAAGTTATAGAAGGCATCAATTGAGAATAATTTTCAGTGATTCTGCAAACATTTTGAAAACCAGGGAAAAAGAAATTGGAGAACATCTTAACAATATTAGGAAAGTGTCATGGGTTGAAGGAGATACTGTTACTGAAAAGTGAAAGATGATAATTAAATATCAAAGCCAATTGAACTGGTCAGCTCACTGACCAAAAAGAAAAGAAAAAAGAATAACATCAGAGTTCTTGCAAGAATTAAGTGAACTTTATTTTGAATTTATTAACACTTTAATATCTGTTAGAGCCAAGAATTTCTGTTTTTACTGACAAATTCATTCTTCAATTTTGAATTCTGCAGACATCATCTTTTCTTTTTCAACACAGCCCTAGCATTCCATAAAATAATATCAACTCACGTGTTCGCCTCCAGGACCAGTGGTGATCTTCCCTGCGTGAGACAGCTGTACGAGAGTCCATCTGAGGATGGGTAGACCGAGTACGTCGGATATGGAGTTGTTGGCTCATTTTGAAAAAACAAACTAAAAATGCCTGCTTATCAGGTTCTCCTTTCCGGCCAACAATTCCTGCACGTTCAGGTCCTACTTCTTTACCTGCAGATAATAAATGAAAACAACCATGGCAGCGGTTTTGAATAAGAATTCAGAAGGAAAAAAAGAAATCAAACTGAGAAAGTAAATCAAAATTAGGTTAATTCTTTAAGAGATTGTTTTTTTTTAAAGATGTAAATATTTAAGATTAGCTAAGTCTGGTACATGATTATAATAAATGGTAGCACCCTGTGAAGGTTAAATTTCATACACTATTAAATAATTACATTGCAACATTTGTTAGCTTTAATTATAAATGCCTAACATGGAGTTAGGGTTGAGACAATAAGCTTGAAGATTTTTTTTCTTTTTTAGGAGAAAAGAGCATTAATTATAGCATTAGTGAAAACAGCAATGAAGAAAGCTTCATCTTTTATACTAATGTTGAACAAATGAACTAATCAACATTAGTAATAGCCAAGGACATGCTATCCACAATTATCTACAGTTTGTCCAAAAACATTTTAGTAAATCTAAGAATTGCAACATTTTTATTAGATACCAATATTTCTCCACCGTTTCCTCATAGGGAGTTGTAGAGGCTCAGAGAAAGTGCAGTGGCAAGAGAAATGACTACAACAATTTTATCTATTTGTAAGTAAGTCAAAATAAAACTTCAATAAAAAAATTGGATAAGAATTTAAAAAGGACAACAATGAAGAGGAAAAAAAGAACAGACTATCTTCTAGTGATATCAATTCTTTCATTAATAGCATATTTGCACAATAGCTAAGCAGGTTCATCACAGGGTTCTCTATAAATATAGCCTTGTCCTAAAGTTGTTTAAGACCAACACATTTAAAAATTACAATCAATTTTACAAGAAGAAAGGTATTTTGGCCGCTTTCATTATTTATTGTATTGGAGAGGTTTTAGTGATCTGCTTCCTTTCCATAATATGAGTTTAATAACTGGAATTTTTAAGTGCATCAGTTATCATATTTGACAATTGTCAAATATCAAAACTGCTCTTACGAGCTTTTCAAACTGAAAAGCTGATAACATTTAAAACAAATCTCAAAGACCTAATACGGAATATTATTCAGCTTATTTACAAAGAAAAATTGTTTCAGTTTTTGGCAGTTATTTTTAACTCTACAAGTATTTAAAATGGTTTTCTAACACATACATTTTTTTAAGATGCATTTTTCTAGAAAGGCCAAGGATTTAAAGAAAAAGGAGGTCAGATTTCAAAGAGAATTCTTTAAATAAATGTCTCAACTCACCTGAACTGAGATCAATTACTTTTAGAAAAAGTCCCATATTGGATGTAGGAAATATGGTCCAAGATTCAGCAGAATGGGTAACATTCATAAGGACCCAGCCTTCATAGTCGGGTGTTAGGGTATAATTAGTCTCTGGCATCAGAATCTTGTCCCTGATAAGAGGAAAAAATATTTGGCCAATAAATTTTGTATTCTAAGGAAGCAATTGAATATAAAAAACTTTGATCAAGGAAAATGTGAGAAACATTTGGAAAATTATGGCAAACGCATAATAAAGTTTTCATTGTTCAAAAATGGTAAAGAAGCAAAATGCAACACAAGGTCACATTAATATGGAGTCCTAAAGAGACAAAAACTGTTTAGGTCTCTTGGCCTTGCCTTTTTCAAACAATGTCCTAACATTATCCCTCTTAATGTAATGAGGAAGTGCTATCTGGAAGAATGGAACCCAGACAATTAGACATTCAGCTTTTAGAGACAGTAGAAAGAGAAAAACAAAAAAGTTAACAAAATTCTTCTAATGTTGCCGAGTTAAAAACATTATCCAAAATTATCAAATTCTACTATTAACTTAATATGAGTGGATGTGGAAATTGTCTACCTAACAAAGTATTAAGAAAAGGCAATACATTTTCAGTATCCCACCCATCATACACAGAAGAAAAAAATTCTTTTTGTTTAATATAGTGGTTCATTCTGAAATCTGTCTCTCCTGAAAATACAACTACATGACACATATGCTTTAATCCTTGACACACCCTTTCTAATAACCTAGAAAGTGGGTGATGTGAGGTAGAGGTAGGGGGCCAGTTTCAGAGGATAAATAGTTTGAGTAAAGGAAATTAGCAACCTGTCAAGTAGACATTGACCAGGCAAACAATTACAGACAATGAAGACACCACATGATATTTCTTTCTGAACAGCAGTAACAACATCAAACTGCAAATAAGATGCATTGTGGGGAGTTATTTTTAAGATGCATTTTGTTTAGCCAGAATGAATAATTGGAATGAAGTTTGGGAAGAGGTAACATTTTAAAAATAAGAGTTTAAGTATTAATAGTATAAGTATTTCAGTCTCAATACCAATTAATATGCTGTACCTAGTTGAAAATCATGTTCCTGGTTATTAGTGGCAATTGTACTATTTTGTTAAGCCCAAATGTTGGTCACTGACTCTTACTGGCATTGCTAATTGCAGAGGTGGTGTTCTTAATGGGGAGATAAATGATGAGCAAAATGAAGTCAACCCACAGTGTATTCTGGTTTATCAAATGATGACGTTTCATCTCCAGTAATGAAAGAACAGGGAAACTTGAAACATACATGCATACCAAATACCTGACAAGTCAGTATTAACAAATGTAAGGCAGACAAAATCTCTCTCTCTATTCTATCACAAATTCAGAAACCCATTATATGAACATGAATGATGTTACAATATGGCAGAATCTTCCTCTCTTGACACATACAGAGAAAAAGCCTATTCAGTTGCTTTCCTTACTTATACTCCAACCTTCAGATATCAATAAAATGGTGTAGTGAAAGTATAGTGTTATTATAAAATGCAGATTGTGTGTGTGTGTGTGTGTGTGTGTGTGTGTGTGTGTCTGTACGTTTATATATTGGATCGGATTTCCTACATTTTTCAACCAATTTCAATAAAACTTCACAGGACTACATAAAATTACCTTGCGGTGGTTCTGACAGTGCCAAAAATTGGAAAAACACAATTCTTTTTGCACAAAATCAATTTGAAAACACGACTGTCGCCAGAATGAAAGGGGGACAACTCATATCAAGTTATACTTATTATAAAACCCAGGTTGTTTGTGTGTGTGTGTGTGTGTGTGTGTTCGTTTATATATGGGATCGGATTTCCTACATTTTTCAACCGATTTCAACAAAACTTCATATTTTTTTGGCAGGTAGTGTTTCTTATTGTTGTCTTGCACACTTTTTACTTTATTTTTACATTCAGAATGCTTTAAAAATTCCATTTACAAGACAATTGTTTATAATAAAATTCTATTCAATCGATAGACTCATAACGATTGAAAACAATGTTTTTGTTTGAGTTTGACCAATTTGTAAAAAAAATAATTAAGACATGCGTGTCCATCAACCTTAAACAATAATCTTTGTCAATTTTATTTTTCAGTTTTTATGATGGTCAATACTTGGTCTATCTCTTACTGATACATCCCCGGGCAACGCCGAGCTCTACTGCTAGTCACTTATAAATTTGTTGGCTCTAAATAATCTATTGTTCAAAAACCAAATTCATTAGGCACCTTAAGACTCCCGAGTATTTTAATAACTCACCCTGTTATCATAGAAGCCTTGAATTAAACTGTCCTGGGTTGTTTCTAGGACAATAAGCAAGAGGAGAACATCCAATATGACAAGGTAGCTACAGTAACAATTCCTTATGAAAGAAGGAAAGAGATGCAAAAGATTTGTCAATGTGACAACATCAGAGTGATATTTAATAGTAGCTTTATCTTTTGAAACATTTAACTAGAGTTGATCCCTTATGAGAGAAAATTCTCAAAAAAGAAACAAAAAAAAGCACTGCATAACATAGTATGCATATATGGTAAGGTACATAAAGAGAGAAATGCAGCTGTCTTTAAAGATGTGATTTGAAGAACAAAATCATAATTGACAAAAGGTATTGTTGGGGAGTGAGAAAGTTGCTAACAGAGATTTCAATATTATGTTACTTAGCAAAGTAGGTGTCAGGAAGCTCTCATCCTCTTGGTATGCCTAATATATTGTGAAAATAAACTAGCCTGGTGGGTATATTAATAAACAATTTCTGTTACCTGTTTTCTGCAGTCAAAAATTTGTACTGGATGAAGACTGAAGACTAAATCAGTCAAAACATTGTGTTAACAACAGTAAATATATGAAGATGTGAGAATCTGAACTATGTAGCATATGATGAAAACTACATTAATTTTTCATATTAGTTTGCATTTCTGTAAACTGAATTCCATTGTTGAGATGAGTGTTCAAGAAAAGAGCCAGTCATACAGTAATGTTCTTGGTTTTTCATTTAAGAGAAATCTAAATTAAGATGAAAATAATTAAATATTGATGATTGGAGAAAGAAATAATTCTTTGCTTTTGGTTCATCAAGGAAAGACGCTGAATAACTTGCTTTTAGCAATTTACTAAGTGTGGTTTAGATGTGACATAAGGCCAAAAGTATGGAGCACTAGAGGAAGATTGAACTCACTACTCAGTTTTAATTGATCTAGCAGGACAAGCTTGCAAACCATTACACCATATCAAAGTGCACAAATAACTTGCTATATATATATATATATATATATATATATATATATATATATATATATATATATATATGTGTGTGTGGTTGGATTGATGTGAGTTTTGACCCTGGGTTTCACTCTTTTTGCGATTGTCAGACAAATGATCGCAAAAGCGTGAAACCCAGGGTCACAAACTCACATCAATCCAACTAAATATGTTAGCTCTATCTCTGATATTGAGCGCTTTCTAATAAGTACCGTGCATATAGTATATAAATAATTTATATATATGTATATTTATATACACACACACACATATATATATATATATATATATATATATATATGTGTGTGTAAGAGTGTGTGTTGGGGAAGCCAATAAAAAATTGATATGTTTAATTTACTGAATAAGTTTGCTTCAAATTAAAAATTAAATAAATATTTTAAAAAGATTTTAAACTTTTAAGAGATTCTTAAAACAGGTTTCAAAAAGTAAGTTCAACATTTTTTAATGCCAAAATGAAAAAGCTTTTCTTTTGTAGGAATGCAGACAATAAAAAAAAAGGAAAAGTTTATAAAGCTGAATGAGAAAACTAAAAATAACTGGAAAGCCCATACAACTTGCACTATTTTGACTGATAAATCAAAAGAAATGGTATTGTGTTGATCTGACAATTGGAATCGCAAAGCTATTAAAGCTCACTGACAGATCAAAGAGAAAGCAATTCGGCAGACAAGCATCAGAAAAGATCAAACAAAAACTGATCAGATTCTGCTGCTGCTGCTGCAGCCAATAGGAAATCAATTAAGGAAGATGAGTTTTTCTTCAAAATGCAAAGCAATGCATTAGAATCCAAGAGAATTGCTTGTCAATGTGAAATATCATAATCAATAGAATTTGTGTAAATCAGCAGGAATCTGACACAGAAAGAAATGGCAGAGAATGTCTTTGATGTTGAGTGCAGAACACCTGCTGCCCTCATTTGAGAGGAGAAAAAATGTTGAAATAACAAATGAAATGTAGGCAGAACAATAGCAGATACACACAGAGCAACAAAGAATCATATCTCTTCAGCTGAGGAAGTGAACACACACACATTTTGGCAATGTGTATACCAGAATTCTTATAATGGTCATTCTGTGTAATTGATTTTTGTCAAATTTACACATTCTTTCTCAACCTATTACAATTGAAGTGTTAAAAATCAAAAGACTTACAGTAAATGCCCTGCACTCCCTTTCAACTTCATTGTAGACTTATGCATAGTAGAAAATGATAAATTTTTATATACACCAGAACAATATTAGGAAAATTAATGACAAAGTGGAAAAAATTATTTGTGTGATGCATTTCTTCCTTTAGGGCTTCACTGGACCAACATAGGATAAAGAATTTTTTCCACTTTGTCATTAATAACAGATTAAACTGAAGATTTAAGAGGTAGAAATAATTAAGAAGTTGTTATTAAGGGGATTTAAAATAGAATAAAAATAAACATGCCATCAAGTTTAAAATGTTAAATGCAATATTACAGGAAGAAGTATTTCAGAAAAGTTTTGTACTAATCAGCAATCATTTAACTGCTATTTTATGGAATTTCTACATGTGCACTGGATTGGACCCAGATAATGTTGAACAGTTTCCATAATTTGACAGTTTACTAACATCAAATATATTTGCTGAAAAAGATGTCGATAATAAAATCAAGGCCACCCATACAGCATGTGGGAAGCTATTCAAAAAGATCTTCAGCAATCCTGGGCCAACACAAACCACCAACATGATCTACTGAGATGTAATCTCAACACTCCTATAAGCCAATGAGACATCCACAAACTTGAACGATTCCATCAAATGAAACTTCAAATCCTATGGAACATGTTCTCTGCACAAAGATGGAGAGCTATCATTACTCAACATTGCCCAAATGCCAGATATTTGCCTACACAAAAAAATACTCTTCTTGTAGCTCATATTTGGTAAGAGGCCATGTCATTGATTCAAGAATCAGCTCTAAAACACCTTGCTGAGGACAGAAATTGATCTGGTCAATTGGAAAATGGAAGCTGCAGAAAGAACCAATTTGAGAAGAACAATCCACAAAAAGACAGCATCCTTTGAAAACACCAGAAGACAAATAGAAAAGACGAAGAGAGCCCAAAGAAAAGCCAGAACTCTTCATACCATGACTCCTCCTAACCTATCATGCAGTGGCTGTAGACATCTCTTCAGTTTAAATATAGGACTCATTTTGCATAGATGGAAATGTTGATGAGCACCACAATACTAGGCAATGAGTTCCGCCAATGACAATGATATGTGAAGTTTTAGTTCTAAAACAATAGACAACCTGCAAAGGTATTCATTCTAGATAAAGATACAAACACTTCTAGAATCTTCAACAAAGTATAATATAATATAAAAGTTGATGAAAAAAATAATTATAGTTTCAATTATGAGAATACAACCAAATGAAAGATGGAAATAAATTCTAGTGGACCATTAAATTCTTTAAATCTGCAAGACATTTTAAATAAACGAAAAAGATGCATTAAGAAAAGAAAATGTCTTATTCATCAAATGGCAAACATTTGTAATATACAAGACATGGAAGGGGGAAAGAAGTAAAAAGAATGAGGTGGGAATGAAGGGGAGAGTAAAGAAAAAAAACAGAAAAGAGGGAGGAACAAGCAGAAGAGGAAAAAGGGGAAACAAGGGAAGAAAGAAGTGTAGGAGAAAGGGAGCAGGAGAATCAGAAGAGAAAAGGATGAGAGGGGGGGAAGCATAAGAACAGAAAAAGACGAGAGAGAGAGAGAGGAAGAAAGAGAAAAGAAAAATACTCACTCAAGATCCTGACCCTGTTTGATCATATAAACTTCAATTCGATAAGATCTTTGGCTATGTTTTGATTTTGTCCTGTAGAGTCGAAGTTCTGCCCCAGTGACTGTTTCTAAAGGAGACACCTCACCAAAATCAAAGTAGAATGTACGATCTCGTTCATGTCTGAGGAAGTGGATTTTGTGAACTGCAAAATGAAATTTATAAATTCTGAGTGAAAGGAAAAGCTCATCAAATTTAACATTGAATCTCAGTTGAGATAATTCATATTAAGAAAAAAAATTGTTGATTAAAAATAGAATTTGTCAGGTAAGAACTTATTCTGAAAGTACAAGAAAAATGTATTTTTAAAAAAAAAAAAATACCATACCATCCCCCCACCAAAAAAAATTAATTTAGATGCTGTAGATTCCTTAAGAATAAACTGTATATACATAATGGATTCTAAAGTGTCTGCTTCTCAAATCACATTATTGGCATTGAGAGAATGTTTATGAAAAGGAAGCAGCCAATGTATAGAGAATTAATGAGAAAGAATTACATAAAAACTGGTAAGCCCAATACTTGTTAATACAAAAAAAACCTGTTTGCAGTCATAAGTTCCCAAGAGAGAAGAGTTGAAATACAGTTAGAATGAACATCTGCTGGGAAGAAGACAACAACTTTGTAAACATTGTTACAAGCATCCAAAACACACATAAGTAGAGAGAAGTGTTAAAAGTAACTTAGGATCAAACAAGGGAAATTCTGTAGAGATTTTTTTTTTAACACAACCTCCGTGACAAATAAAGACTGTCTTTGTTGATGAACTATATTGTGTGCTTATTATTGGGATAAAGTGGTCAACAAAAACAATATTTTATAAAAAAAAGATGCCTTGAGCTTTGACCAGGTAAAGATAAGTAGACCTGTTGATGGTCATAAACCATCCATGACATATTTATTATGGATTTCTTAACTGTTACCAATCAAATTTATAAGTCAATATACCTCTTCTCGAGATTCATGTCATGCTTTGCAACTATCCTCTTGCCAACTGACCATACAGTAGTATTTGTAGATATTTCTTTCCGCATGTCTATTAAGCAAAAATAGTCTATTAACAGGACATCTTTTTGTTACCAATTCACTGATATCAACTTATTTTGTGATTTTCTTTGTGACACTCCTTTCAATTAAATTTTTAATCTCCCCATTGAAAATTGTGTCACTGAGGTTTCTATGCAAGTGAAAGCAGGCATCGAATCTTTTGTGCCAGCACAGAAATACCAAGTGAAACCAAAATCTTCTCTTTGGATCAATCTTGCTTGTTCATATGTAGAGGGACTGATTTTCCATTTCAAATTTTATTTATTTCCATTTCAGGTTTTAGGGAATTCCGTTTTTTTCCCCGATTTTGGTATAGAATTCTGACAACATAGTCTGCATGTTGTTCAATGCACAATCTGTGGTGAAATCCAAGGTTGACTGTGTCTGCATATATTGGCTATGTTCAAAAGTTTGTCTCCTTGGCTGTGATACTATTCAACAAAAAAAAAAAAAAAAAAAAAATAGCAACCATTGTTTTTAAAGACTTACTGGTTGGCAACAATATAGTTTCTCACTTAGTCATCTATATTTTCTTTCAGCTTCAATGGTGAACTACTATCTCCCTAACTTCTGGCAACAGAAAAAGGATTCTTACATTCAATGACTGTCCAGGTGACTGCTGATTCCTCACTGATTGCTAGTCCCTTCCTCCTCCTCTGACAGCTGATCCCATTCTTACTAGCCACTTACTGACTTCCTGCCTCTCTCTGCTTATATGGATGCTAGCTGGGGTCCCACCCAAAAAGCTGGATGGGTGGTAAGTTTCTTCAAAGGACACTACTTTTATGATTATCTAAAATCATTGACAACATTTTTATGTGGTCAATTCAAAGTTGGGCTGAAGACGGGAATCCTGAAAACTCTGGCAATTAAGTTGACTCAAAGATGGAAATTCCTAAGAAACTCAAATAATTAAGTGAACTTAAAAGGAAAAGGAATTTATCTACTTATCTCCTAAGGATGCATAATGAAAGTATTGAGCTAAGCAACATTATCAAATTGTGGCCAAACAGAAAATGTCCAGTTTTAAATTAATTCCTATTGTTGAAAAGTCATCTACAGACAAAAAGTTACATTATCATTTGCTCACTTTACTGAAATTGTTAAATAAAATTCTTGGAAAAATATCTAATTGATAAAATTTGGCTTTCTGAATTGGCAAACTACCCCCCACACCATCACTATGTGTGACAGGAAAAAGAAAGGATAAAACAAAAAGACAAAATTTGTTTTAAACACCCCCTTTTTTATTAAATCAAATTAACTTTGTAAAACTTGGTTCCTAAATACTGTAAACATTAGGGAGACAGTAGATAAGGTGGGGATGTATTAAAACATTACCGGCTTTATATTTTGGTGTCTGTCAGGGGGGGGGTATAAGAGCTAGTTAGGAATGGCCGACATAGTATAACCCATAAAAATGGGAGTTAAATTTTATTGTAAGAAAAAAAAGAGAATTTCCATTTCAAAATCACAATTTCTGTTTCAAGTAAACCATTCTGATTTTCTATCTGTTTTTCAGTTTTGATGGAAAATAAGACCCTCTACATTCCACAGGAATCACTTCTTCCAGCCATACCAATGTGACAGTTCTGATCATAACAGATACCTCTTTGTATATGCTTGTAATGAGTGTAAGCATGTTCTCAATGAGGCAAAGTTGCTATTCATTGATAGAATGAAACACTGTATAGCCTTTTGAAAGTTTGGTTCTATTGCTGCAGGCTCTGTAAGAGTGTTGAACAAGAGTAAATCCTCAATTCCTCCTCTCTTCACTCAGTTTGACACTTGTTGCTGATAAAGAAGAATGCTTTGCTCAATTTTTTTTTTCAACTACAATCTTGACTCTTCAAGAATATCTTTGCCTGATTTTCTCCTTAGAATGGAATTTCTATTCAGTGATATGAATATAACTCCATCCATGGTTTCTGCTATCATCTCCAAGCAGCTTGCAGACTTGATATTCCTGCAATTGTCCTAAGTAAATGTGCTCCTGAACTGGCTCCTGTTATCTCCAAACACTAAAACAAATGCCCTGTTGCTTCTAGCTTTCCAGCTTATTGGAAATCCTCTTCCACAGTTCCTGTCTTTAAGAATCTGATGAACCTTTTGATCTCTTGAATTATCATCCTTTTAGACTTTTACCTCTTTTTGGGAATGTACTAGAGGCTCTAATCAACCGACTTGATTAAGCATCTCATTTTACCTTTTCTTAGATAAACAATATGCCTTTTGTTTCACTAGGTCAACTGCTGATGTGTTAAAACTGAATTTGTCTATCAGGCATTAGATAAGAATGATGAGGCTCAGGCTGTGGCTTTAGATATCTAAAAGGCATTTGACAGAGTTCAGCATACTGGCCTTCTTCACAAGCTCAAGGCTATGGTGTCTCTGACTGTATATTTGACTTAATCCAATTGTTCTTAAAAAATCAGGTTGTGTTGAATGGCCATTCTTCTAGATCGTTTCATATTAATGTGGGGATCCCCAGGGACCTATCCAAGAACCTATGTTGTTTCTTACCTTCATCAACACACTTCCTGGTGTCATCAGTTTCCAACTTTGTATTTATGTTAATGACAATTATTTACTTCTATCTTGATAGTAAATCTGACAGGTCCAACAAAGTAAAACTGGCAGCTGCTCTTAAAAAATAAGCTCCAATCTGTTAACTGGGGCAAGAAATGGCTTGTAAATTTTAATGCTTCCAAAACAAAACTGCTATCCTTTAATCAACATAGAGAACCATCTTTGTCCTTATCAGCATGGCTGATGCTAACCTTCAAGATAAGAACTTAATGGCCCTTCTTGGTCTTATATTTTCTGACATGAAATAGAAAAAAAAATGAAGGTTGGTTCACTGTTTTGTGCCAGACAATTTTTTTCATCAGTATACATATTGTATATTCATAAATCTACCATTCATCAGTGGATTGAATATTTCCTCTATACCCGGTCTGGTTATATAGCTAGAGATTCTTGACAAAATCTAAAGAAGTGTCTGAAATATTATTGGTCATGCTCTGGCATCTCAACTTCAGACACTTTCCCCACCAGTGTGGTGTGGCATCCATCTATCATTTTTATAAATATTTTCATGGCAGTAGTTCTAATAAGCTCTCCTCCTTGGTACCTGAGTGCATGAATTTTGGTGTACTACTAGATTGGCCACTAGGTCTCATTATTTTACTACTGAAATAGCCAGATGTAACTGTAAATTCTATTCTTAATTTCTTTTCTGCACTTCTCACCACTTCTGATTTCTTGCTTCACTACCACTGACAATCTTTAAAAATTTAAATGTCAATCACCATCTTCTGTCTTCCTGAATCCTGTTCTTTTATTGTACTTTCTCTTCACTAAAGACTTCTCATTCTCTTTCACTCCCTGTAACTCCTTGAGTTTTAGTGGCAATATCACTTTGCTTGGGATGAAATGGAAAGAAATGACAAACTCAAAATGGATAATTTAATCTGGAATGTTAGATTTTTCAGAGATTTAATTATAAAAAAAAAAAAAAAGAAAAAAAAAAGAAGTGAAAGTAGAAACTTGTGTGATGATATAAAATAATATTGCCTCCTTTTAAAAGATGGCCTTATCTGTATAAATGCAGAGGAGAAACTGAAAAATGTTCCATTGAATTGAATATGTGTCTGGGCAGAATGATAAATAGTAACCAAAAGACAAGTGAAATAATGATGGGAGAAAGGATAGAAAAATCAATGGATATAATCTAAGTAGAAAATAGAAGCACAGATGATCTGGAGAAATCCAAATTGGAAGATGATAAAACCCAAGGCCAAAGTAGCAACATTATTCCTAATTTTCACAGACATTTGCCAGGTGTAGATGGAGACAATCACCTAAGTGATAAATTTAAACAGGACTGGTTTGACAATTCAGGAATCTTTTGTAAAATACTATAAAAATATAACTATGAAAAGTGAAGAGGATAATTCAAATGAAGGCATGAAACAATTCATTAAATCATTATTTGAACAGTTTGTGTAAATGAAAAAAAAAATCATTTAATCCAAGAAAAAACATTAATGGAAAACTTTTGATAGTGTAATGTTAGGGAGCGACTTATCTACCTTC